GCATAGGAGCAGCTTGAGGTGGGTGCCTCCAGGGAGGGACCCAGGACAAAAGTTCATCCATCACTGGGTTCTTTCCTTGTCTCCAGATGGGCCATAAATGTCATCTTACCTCTGGTGCTCCTTGCTAATGGATGTAACTCCTTTACCTTCCAGTTTGCACTGGGCTGAAGGCCTTCCTTTGCATAAATAAGCACAGGTTGTAAACTCAGTTCAGCTTTAGGTGGGAGTTACCTGCTTGTATCCTAAAGCTCCAGCAACTTCAGCTTCCCATTACTACTCATGCTAAGGAGGACCACTCAGTCAAAAGACCTCAGTTAAAGGAACCTGGCTAACTCAGTGCAGTTCACAACAAGGTGTACGTGTGTGGAATAGAGGTAAGAAGATGAAGTGTAAAGGTTGGCTGGGGCAGAAGAGGAGCATAAAAGGGTGAATGTAGGTAGAGCAGAGCCAGAGTAAGATCCTCAGGGTGGTGGAAGAGCTGGAGGTTGATGCAGAAACCAGCAGTTCATTCTTGGGAGACTTTCAACTGATTCAGCAGAAGGTGAATATCTCATTTTCTGGAGGAAGAAGCTTTCAACCAGCAATTTCCAGTGAAACTCCAAATGAGCACTTTCCCTTTGCTCCTCCTTTGAAATTAATGCAGGAATCAGCAGAACAGTGCAAAGTGTTAACTGCATTTCCTTTTGCTTTTGCTTTCCCACATGAAAGGAATCTTGTTGAATAACTAAAATCTTCCTGAAACTCTTCTTTCCTCCTCAGGGAGCTGAATGTGCAAACAGCTCTGAAGTTTGTTCATACCTCTTTTCATGGAGTTGGACATGACTACGTGCAGTTGGCTTTCAAAGCGTTTGGCTTCCAGCCTCCCATTCCAGTACCTGAACAAAAAGATCCAGATCCAGACTTCTCCACTGTCAAATGCCCAAATCCTGAAGAAGGGGAATGTGTGCTGGTACTTTTGTTTCTATTTCATCAGATTTCTATGAGCTTTCCTCTGTTTGGGTATCATAGTGTTGAAAAATCAAGGAAGAGAACAGGGAGTACCTGGCTTTCAGTTAATACAGTGGGCAAGCTGTATGAGATTATATATGCATGTAATATTGAAGTAGGAAGACTGGGTTTATTTGCTCTTGTGATTTTGTTCTTCCCATCCCTCTTCTCCCACCAGGAGTTGTCGCTGAGGCTTGCAGAGAAGGAAAGTGCTAAGGTAGTAGTGGCCACTGATCCAGATGCAGATCGACTAGCAGTGGCGGAACAGCAGGAGAAGTAAGTGATGGGATCATTTCTTTTCTCTCTTTCTGCAGAAGTAGTAGTGAAAAGGCACAGAATGTCATAAATCCCAGACTGGTTTGGGTTGGGAGGGACCTCATCCAGTTCCAACCCCCTGCCATGGGTAGGGGTGCTTACTAGACCAGGTTGATTGAGGCCTATCAAACCTGGCTGTGAACAGTGCCAGGGATGGAGCATTCACCAGATCTATTCATGTTACAGTAAAAGGCCAAATTAAACTGTTCAGTGGTTACTGAAGACAGCAAAATCTTGTTGTTGCTGTATTTTCACTTCTGTTAGGCAAACCTTCTGCCTTGGGACTGTAGCTCTTGGGGGTTTTATGTTTCTTTGTTTTTCCCTGGCTGCTTCATATTGAATGGAAACTATTTTTCTTCCACTGGCAGGCCCAAATTCTGATCACTGTGTAAGTAGCTGTCTGCAATACACCTGACTGCAGTGTATAGAATCATGGAATGGGTTGGAAGGGAGCTTAAAGCTTCTCCAGTTCCAACCCCCTGCCATGGGCAGGGACCCCTTCCACTGGAGCAGCTTGCTCCAAGCCCCTGTGTCCAACCTGGCCTTGAGCACTGCCAGGGATGGGGCAGCCACAGCTTCTCTGGGCACCCTGTGCCAGCGCCTCAGCACCCTCACAGGGAACAACATGCTTGTGTCCAACCTAAACCTACCTCCCCTCCTTCAGTTTAAAGCCATTCCCCTTGGCCTCTCAAGTATTGGCTGTATAGATTGCTATACTCCTGTTTGATAAGCTAAAAAGGTCTAAGCTATTCTAAAGCTGACAGTAAGGATACTCATTATGGTATCTTTACTTGCTAACAGAATGCACTGGGCTTGTCAGTCATTGAGACATGAGACGTGAAGTCCTGTTAATATGGTGGCTTTGTGTAGAGCAGCTTATCAGTAGTGCACTCAGATTCCTGTTCCAGTGCCTGCAGAAGCATCTCCCCCTGCGTGGATGCTCCTGGGAAACCTTGAATGAGCACTGACATTTGTATCCTGTCTGCAGTGGGTGCTGGAAGGTGTTCACTGGCAATGAGCTAGCAGCTTTGTTTGGGTGGTGGATGTTCTCATGCTGGAAGGAAAACTGCTCTGAAGATGCTGATGTGAAGAACATTTACATGTTGGCGACCACAGTGTCCTCAAAGATTCTGAGGGCAATTGCACTTAAAGAAGGATTTCACTTTGAAGTAAGTGTGGGGTTTATGAGTAAAATCTCATTGCCTCGTTCTCCATTTAGCTCCCTTCTCTTCTCACTTTATGAAATGGAGAAATAGATGACTTCCAGTCTTTTGGCTTGGAGTTATATATACATTCAAGTGTGTAAAGAATGCTTGTTTTACCTGAACAGGTCTGATTTCCATGGAGAATCATAGAATGGTTTGGGTTGGAAAAGACCTTAAAATAATCCAGTTCCAAACCCCCTGCCATGGGTGGGGATCCCTCGCACTAAACCACGTCACCTAAAGCTCTGTCCAGCCTGGCCTTGAACACTGCCAGGGATGGAGCATTTACCACATCTGCAGCACATCTCAATGCACGTTACAGTGATTGCAGACTATGAGATTTAAGGACATTTTCCTGGTTCTCTTGACAGAATGTCCCTGCATTTAAATCAAATTAGCTTCTCAACTCACCTGCAAGGAGGCTGTAAGAGGTGACACAAGTTAAACCCTAACGTACATAAAATAGGAATACTTTTGTCATGGTTATTTCCCTAGAGGTAAATTCCTCTGTGCGAGAGAATGAAAGTTGTGCAACTGAGTGTTTCCTACACAAATGGAATGCTTTCTGATGGCTTTGTAACAAGCACTTAGAGGTTACTCCATGTTCCTTCAGGTGCCCAGGTTACAAGTAGGTTTTCCTTCAGACTGTGACAGACAAAGGAGCTCCTTTGTTCAGACCTTTTAATGTAGTTTCATGAAGGACTTGGTAAAATAGGTATTGGGGCTGTCCCCAGTGACTGTATTTTACTTCCTGCATTCAAATTATGTACTTGCTCTGATGTCTGAGACTGTCATAGGAGACTTAAGTGCTCTAGAGCTTTACACAAACATGCAAAGATCCAGGGCTTGGTTTTAATACTTACCTAAATTAAAGCCATGTGTAGTAGGAAAAAACATTTTGCCAAACAATGAGGAATGAAAAACAAAGATGGAAAGTAACTGTGAGATGCATTTTGAGTGACTGGCCAAATAAGCTTCATCATAGAATCCCAGACTAGTTTGTGTTGGAACTGGAGGAGCTTAAAGGCAGGGACCCCTTCCACTGGAGCAGCTTGCTCCAAGCCCCTGTGTCCAACCTGGCCTTGAGCACTGCCAGGGATGGGGCAGCCACAGCTTCTCTGGGCACCCTGTGCCAGCGCCTCAGCACCCTCATGGGAGGACATTCAGTATTCAGGCAGGTTGGATGTTGCTGCCTTGTACTGAATTGCTGTATCTCTCGAAATCCCTTTCCTTTTGTGGAAAGGAACACATTTCACTGAAAAAAGGATGAGGAATTTACAGAACCCCTTGGTCTCCTCTAAATCATAGAATCAAAGAATCATGGAATGGTTTGGGTTTGAAAGGACCTTAGGCTCATCCAGTTCCAACCCCCTGCCATGGGCAGGGACACCTCACACTAAACCATATCAAACAAGGCCTCGTCCAACCTGGTCTTGAGCACTGCCAGGGATGGAGCATTCACAGCTTCCCTGGACAACCCATTCCAGTGCCTCAGCACCCTCACAGGAAAGAATTTCCTCCTTATATCCAATCTAAACTTCCCCTGTTTCAGTTTTAACCCATCACCCCTTGTCCTATCACTACAGTCCCTAATGAAGAGTCCCTCCCCAGCATCCCTACAGGCCCCCTTGAGATACTGGAAGGCTGCTATGGGGTTTCCAGGTAGCCTTCTCTTCTTGCCCCTTCCTTCTCTCCACAAAGGACTTAAGATTGTGCCTGCTTTTGCACGATTTGAAGAGCACCAGCAGTGCTGTTCCCTCCATCACCCCAAATTGCTGTTTGTATTTGTAGAACTTTTCCTTTTGAGTAACTCTGTGCTGCTGTCTCACCTGATAAACCACCGTGGAAGATCATTTCTGATCTCAGACTGAACCATGGTCTCTCAAGCACACTTACTCCTTGATTTGATACTCATGTCCTAGTTGAGTATTCCCTAGTAAAATGTTACCCAGTGACTCTGTGCCTTAGATTTATCATCTAAACTGAGGACATGTTTTTCCCCCCTTTCACCTTTGTTTTTCCCCCCTTTCACCTTTGTTTTTCCCCCCCTTTCACCTTTGTTTTTTCCCCCTTTCACCTTTGTTTTTCCCCCCTTTCACCTTTGTTTTTCCCCCCCTTTCACCTTTGTTTTTCCCCCCCTTTCACCTTTGTTTTTCCCCCCCTTTCACCTTTGTTTTTCCCCCCCTTTCACCTTTGTTTTTCCCCCCTTTACCTTTGTTTTTCCCCCCTTTCACCTTTGTTTTTCCCCCCTTTCACCTTTGTTTTTCCCCCCTTTCACCTTTGTTTTTCCCCCCTTTCACCTTTGTTTTTCCCCCCTTTCACCTTTGTTTTTCCCCCCTTTCACCTTTGTTTTTCCCCCCTTTCACCTTTGTTTTTCCCCCCTTTACCTTTGTTTTTCCCCCCTTTCACGTTTGTTTTTCCCCCCTTTCACGTTTGTTTTTCCCCCCTTTCACGTTTGTTTTTCCCCCCTTTCACGTTTGTTTTTCCCCCCTTTCACGTTTGTTTTTCCCCCCTTTCACGTTTGTTTTTCCCCCCTTTCACGTTTGTTTTTCCCCCCTTTCACCTTTGTTTTTCCCCCCTTTCACCTTTGTTTTTCCCCCCTTTCACCTTTGTTTTTCCCCCCTTTCACCTTTGTTTTTCCCCCCTTTCACCTTTGTTTTTTCCCTTTCACCTTTGTTTTTCCCCCTTTCACCTTTGTTTTTCCCCCCTTTCACGTTTGTTTTCCCCCCCTTTCACCTTTGTTTTTTCCCCCTTTCACCTTTGTTTTTTCCCCCTTTACCTTTGTTTTTTCCCCCTTTCACCTTTGTTTTTTCCCCGTTCACCTTTTTTTTCCCTTCACCTTTGTTTTTTCTTTCACCTTTGTTTTCCCCCTTTCACCTTTGTTTCCCCCTTTCACCTTTGTTTTCCCCCCCTTTCACCTTTGTTTTCCCCCCTTTCACCTTTGTTTTTCCCCCTTTCACCTTTGTTCCCCCTTTCTCCTTTATGTCTCTCCCCCTTTCTCCTTTATGTCTCTCCCCCTTTCTCCTTTATGTCTCTCCCCCTTTCTCCTTTATGTCTTACCCCCTCATCTGAAGCAGCCCACAAGTGATGGGAATAGTGGCTACACTTTTTCTTTAACTTGAAACTAAATTGAAAATATATATTTAATGCACTCTTTATCTTTTCTGTTTCAGGAAACACTCCCTGGATTTAAGTGGATTGGAAGTAGAGTAAAAAATCTCCTAGATAATGGGAAAGAAGTTCTCTTTGCATTTGAAGAGTCTATTGGTAAATATGTTCATATTGTTTTAAAACGTTGAGAAGTGTGGGTAAATGGGACTAAAAGTGGTCTTAGCTATGAAACAAATCAAAAGCACTTTATTTCTGATCATGTAGTTACTGGTATTGATGTTTTGCTCTCATCAAATCAGTTTGCCAACTATGATGATAAATGATACACGAATCTCTGATTCTGGTATTGTACTTGTGCAGTTTCCTGATACAAGCCTCGTCTGGTACAGCTTGAAAGTCCTGAGATGCCAGAGCCAAGCTACTGTTGTTGTGTGGTCATTTAGCTGAGGTGAAGCACAGGAGCTGTTCTTTATCAGATTAATATCTCCCAGGTCCTGTCAGTGAGGACTCACTACTAATGGCTCTGTGGAACTGGGAGGAGGTTTGCTTTGGTCACACTCCCCATCACACTGGTACTGCAGCCCCTTCAGGAGCTGTGCACTGTCCCCTCATACAATGTGAGAGGAATCCAGACATGTGCAGGAATAGCATTACATACCTTATGGAAGTGTGTGACTCTTCCTGCTGACCTTGACTGGAGCACTCTATCTTGGTAATCTTGCTGACACCACTTACCTGTGGAGAACTCTGTAGCGAATGTTTCAGCTATGGGAATTCTCCACTTAGGATAAATGGCAGCTTTTGGGACATCATATTCATGTATAATATGGTATTTGAAAATGAAGCGTAGAATCACAGCATGGTGTGGGTTGAAAGGGATGTTAAAGCTCATCCCATTCCAACCCCTGCCCCAGGCAGGGACCCCTTCCACTGGAGCAGCTTGCTCCAAGCCCCTGTGTCCAACCTGGCCTTGAGCACTGCCAGGGATGGGGCAGCCACAGCTTCTCTGGGCACCCTGTGCCAGCGCCTCAGCACCCTCACAGGGAAGAGCTTCTGCCTAAGAGCTCAGCTCAGTCTCCCCTTGGGCAGGTTCAAGCCATTCCCCTTGGCCTGGCCCTACAGGCCCTTGTCCCAAGCCCCTCTCCAGCTTTCCTGCAGCCCCTTTAGGCACTGGGAGGCTGAAGCAGAGACTGAAGAGGGTTTGTGTCCATGCCAGTGTCTTTGATAAAGTTAGAGCAGCTTTTAAACCAGGAGTTAAGATCTTGTTCATGCATCCCTTCACAAAGAAAGCATCCTGGCGTTTGTGAGGAGCACTGATTTGGCGGTTACCAAGGCAGTATCTCTTGATTGATTCTAATTACTGACAAGACTCTTTGCAGTATTGATGTGCTTGCACAAAACAAGCTTATTTTTATGGTTAGCACTGTACTGTCAGAGACCTCTTATTGATCTGGAATGAATTGATTAGCGCACCTATCTTTCCAACCCTACAATCCTAAGTTAATTTAGCTTTCTTAGACAATGGGAATGCATATGCAGTGATAAAACCAGTTTATGTACATTGGCCAATATTCTTTTACAGGAAGAAGGTTAAAAAGCCAATAAAGTAAATCAGTGCAGTAGTATCTGAAGGTTACTTTTCTCATGATCAACTTGATTTCTAGGTTTCATGTGTGGCACATCAGTGTTGGATAAAGATGGTGTAAGTGCAGCTGTGGTCATAGCTGAGATGGCAACGTACCTGGAGGGCAAGAACCTCTCGCTAGCACAGAAACTCATTGAGATATATGAAACGTAAGTTGGATTTCCCATTAGTATGTTCCACTTCACTCTATAGGAGCTGGGAATAATGAAGCTTTTTAATGCATCCCTCAGCTGTTTTCTCATTGCAAACTGTTTTTTTCCTGATGCTATGATGAACTACAGTCTCCAGTATTACAGATACTCCTTAAATGCTCTGTCTCCCAAAGGACTAAAGAGGCCTTTCTTACTGTGAAAGAATTTTGCACTATAGATCCACCAGATCAAACTCATTAGATTCACACTATGTCACTTGTTATCTTCTGCTGTGTGGCTGTAGCTTAGTTGTGCTCTGTGTGCCTCTCTTGAAACACCATTTAGACTTCAACACAGTCTGGGGATTGTTACGTGCTGCTCTTGCAGAGGTTCGTATTAGAACAGGGGTTAAAGGAATGGCCTGTGTTCAGTAGCTACAGGCAATTCACTGCAGCAAAATGAGGAACATGTTTGTGTCAGAATTAAGTTATTTGCTGTGATAAACCCTGTTCATCAGTAGAAGTTCCTGTGCTCTAATGGAACTGGCAGCACAGCTATAGCAAATCATAGAATCCCACACTGGTTTGGGTTCAAGGGACCTTAAAGCTCCTCCAGCTCCAACCCCTGCCACAGGCAGGGACCCCTTCCACTGGAGCAGCTTGCTCCAAGCCCCTGTGTCCAACCTGGCCTTGAGCACTGCCAGGGATGGGGCAGCCACAGCTTCTCTGGGCACCCTGTGCCAGCGCCTCAGCACCCTCACAGGGAAGAGCTTCTGCCTAATATCCTGCCAGCCCCGCACCTGGTGAGCCCTTACATGATGTCTGATTTGGGGTAGTAGTTTCAACTTGGATGGACTCATCAGTCGCCTTCCTCACAGGCTGTTGAAATAATCTGTTGTTATGGCTGTGGCAGACAAGTTTTGATGGTGAGGGAATGATACTGGGTATTAATTTCCTGAAGGCTTCCAAGCCAAATGCCTGGATTTTAGTTCTTTGGAGCTCAAAACTATGCTTGAGTTTATAAAATAGCTGAAGATGATCTGAGTAATGCAGCAAAATCTGCCATTTGCCTATAAATACCTGTTCCCACAGCTGTGACAACTGCATTCTTGTATTGCTTTTCCACACAGGAGCTTTCTTTAGTTAGTAAATGTAAAGCAAACTGAGTCTGGTAACTGAAAATGTTAATCTGCTTGTAGGTACGGATACCACATATCAAAGACTTCCTATTTCTTGTGCTATGATCCTCCTACTATCAAAAGGATATTTGAGAGACTTCGGAACTTTGATGCTCCTCAGTCTTATCCCAAACTTTGTGGCGTTTACAATATCTTACATGTACGAGATGTCACCACTGGCTATGACAGCAGCCAGCCAAATAAGATATCGGTGAGTTATGAAGGACTTTTGCAGGACAATCATGGAATGGTTTGGGTTGGGAAGGACCTTAAGATCATCCAGTTCCAACCCCCTGCCATGGGTAGGGACCCCTTCCACTGGAGCAGCTTGCTCCAAGCCCCTGTGTCCAGCCTGGCCTTGAGCACTGCCAGGGATGGGGCAGCCACAGCTTCTCTGGGCACCCTGTGCCAGCGCCTCAGCACCCTCACAGGGAAGAGCTTCTGCCTTATCTCCAGCCTGAACTTCCCCTGTTTCAGCTTGAACCCATCACCCCTTGTCCTATCACTACAGTCCCTAATGAAGAGTCCCTCCCCAGCATCCTTGTAGCCCCCTTCACACACTGGAAGCTGCTCTGAGGTCTCCACGCAGCTTCTCTTCTCCAGGCTTAACAGCCCCAATGTTCTCAGCCTGGCTCCATACAGGAGCTGCTCCAGCCCCTGAGCATCCCCGTGGCCTCCTCTGGACTTGCTCCAACAGCTCCATCCCCTCCTTATGTTGGGGACACCATTACAGCACAGAGTGTTGCAAGTGGGGTGTTGCAAGAGCAGAATAGACTTAAAAGTATTAATAAGTAATATAAGAAAACAAGTATTCACTTATTTTCATATAACAATGAATTGATATTATTGGTTGAAGTGAGCTCGGTGTTCTGCAACTCTGAAGCTGTCTAGCAGGCTTCCAGATGTTGGAATTCCAACTGGAGCAAGAGGCTGTTCTATTATCCTTAAATACTGAGTCTCATCAGACTGAAATGCCTTGTTCTTGCCTTGCATTGGCTGGTGGATGTATACAGGAGGGGATTCCAACATGTCTATTTAGCTTTGTACCTACTGAATGTTGTAGTTAACACCAGCCAAACATAAATTCACCCACTTTTGTGGAAGTTGGGGCATTGTGTAATAAATTGATGTTGGTTTTGTAGGTGCTGCCAGTGAGTAAAAGCAGCCAGATGATCACTTTTACCTTCCAAAATGGTTGCGTTGCCACCCTTCGGACAAGTGGGACAGAACCAAAGATCAAGTACTATGCAGAGATGTGTGCACTGCCTGAGCAGAGGTAAGCAGAGGGCTGCATGCACACTGCAACATGCCTTTGGGATGAAAGTCAGTAGAAAGGAACCAGTTCCTTGCCTGTGATCGATTCCTCTGCTACCTCCTTGGAGACCTGAGCCTCACGGACTGTTCCACCCTGTTAAACTCACCAGTGATGCACATTCCTGCTCCTAAGGGACCCCCTCTGTAGTGGATAAGACAAAGAACTGAATTTTTGGCATCTGCTGCTTGAGGAGACTCATTTATTAACCCAGTTCCTCATTCACTTCAAATTAAAGAGTGATTAAGTGCTGCTGATGGCATGTAGCTTAAACCCAGGTGAATTCTTATTGCGTTTGGGAATCTGTGTTGCTCTGAGCTACTGGAATAGTAGTAAAGGTCTGTCCCGTTTTGACAGCCACCTGGGTTAAGCTATTCCCAGTTTAAAAGAGGTGGGTGCAAATACAGGGTGTGTTTGCACCACTGAAATCAGGTGTGTGTATGAGCCTAGCTTCTCAGTCTAGTTAATGGAGAGAAGCAGCTCTTGAACTGGATTCCTAACCTGAATTGCAGCAATATCCCCCCTTTTAGACTCTGATTCCGACATTCCTGTGGAGCAGAGAGTAGAAATAATATATAGGGACCTCTGATTTGCTATTTCTTTCCACTTATTGTCAGGAATTCAGACAGAGCATAGCTTTATCACTGAACGTCTTGGTCAGATTTAGGCAGTCCGTGGATAGACTGTGAGTGGTAGATAGCCCTTGCTTGGAAAATGTACACGTGAGGACATGCACAAATCCATGCCTAGACAGTTTTCCAGATTGCTGAAGTTTTCTTTAAATGATGGTTCATTGCTATATATAGAATTATAGAACCACAGACTGGTTTGGGTTGAAGAGACCTTAAAGCTCATCCGGTTCCAACCCCTGCCATGGACAGGGACCCCTTCCACTGGAGCAGCTTGCTCCAAGCCCCTGTGTCCAACCTGGCCTTGAGCACTGCCAGGGATGGGGCAGCCACAGCTTCTCTGGGCACCCTGTGCCAGCGCCTCAGCATCCTCATAGGAGGAACTACATGAAGGGCATCAACACATGTACGGCCTATCTTCTGCATCATGCTTTTAGTTGTTCTGTATTGACCATGGGATAACAGCAGGGCAGGGAAGTGGTGATTCTATATCCCAGTTTTCTGAGTGGCAGCTTTTGCTAGAACCTTGTTATTTATTCAGTCAGAGAGCTTTCTGCTCATGTGGCATGTGAAAGCACTTCTTATGTGGGTATGGAAGTTCTCACTTCAGTTAGAACATGTTTCCATGAACCTGGGAGTGGGCAACATCCCACTTGGTGAAAGAAAAGGTGAGGTATATTTAGGGTAAAAAGCTACACCAAAAAGGAAGAAATAAATGCCAGAAATGCTGTCTTTAACCTAATCTTAATACAAGTGAAGGCCAGACATGGGTAGTGCAGAGAAACAACAGACAGGAGGATGCTTTGCATCATTTGAGCTTCTGCTGCTGTTCATTCCGGTAAGTCAGAAAAGCACACTGACATTTAATTTTAGTTACTACCTGTGGTTAATGTCCATTATTGTCAGGAACACAAAATGGCCAACAGCATCCTGGCTTGTGTCAGCAGGGCCAGGGCAGGGATTGTGCCCCTGCACTGGGCACTGGTGAGGCTGCACCTCGGATCCTGTGCTCAGCTCTGGGCCCCTCACTGCAAGAGAGACATTGAGGGGCTGGAGCGGGGCCAGAGAAGGGAATGGAGCTGGTGCAGGGCCTGGAGCCCAAGTGTGATGGGGAAGGGCTGAGAGACCTGGGGGGTTCAGATGGAGAAGAGAAGGCTCAGGGGGGACCTGATGGCTGCCTCCAAGTGCCTGAGAGGAGGATGGAGCCAGGAGGGGCTGGGCTCTGCTCCCAAGGAACAAGGGATGGGACAAGAGGAACCGGCCTCAAGCTGCACCAGGGCAGGTTTAGATGGAGCTGAGGAGCAATTCCTGCCCCAGAGGGTGCTAAGGCATTGGAACAGGCTGCCCAGGGCAGGGCTGCAGGCACCGGCCCTGCAGGTATTTAACAGATGAATAGATGTGGCACTTAGGGACATGGGGCAGTGGTGGCCTTGGCAGTGCTGTGTTAATGGCTGGATTCAATGGCCTTAGAGGTCTTTTCCAACCTAAATGATTCTATGATTCTAAATTGAAAAGCTCTCAAGCTTCCCTGGTTCAAGGCATGAAGTGGCCTGTAGGAACCTCCAGAGGCATCCCTCCCTGTAACAGCATTGCAAATACTCTGGCTTGCTGCTTATTGATTATTCTGAAGAGCTGAACATCAGGAAAGCCAGTTTAACAACAGCATTTAGGGGTGGTTTCTTTAGAAGGAAGCGGTGACCTGAAGTGCAATGATGGATTCTCAGTTCCACAAATGAAGCAAGCAGATGTAAATAAGCCTGTTTTGCCTTCTCTCTATTAAAACCAGGCTGAGTTCCTCTCCTTCCACTGAGCCTTCTGGCACAGGGTTATGCATTTTTAAAGCAGTTTTGCAATGCATTAGTGCATGTGGATCAAATGAATGTCTGGGCATTTAAATAGGGAAAGGATCAGTGCAATACAGTGTCCTCTTCTGAGCCATGACACTTTGCCTTGATTACTCAATCCTCCTAAATGGCTCTTTAGCCAAAATACAATCAGAAACCCTAGATCATAGAATCATAGAACCGTTTGGGTTGGAATGGACCTTAAGATCATTCAGTTCCATTACCCCTTGCTATGGGCAGGGACACCTCAGCCTGGACCATGTCGCCCAAGATGGGCATCTGGCTGCTATGTAGAGGATAATATGGGGTTTCTGCCTCCTCTTGGTAGCTCATTCTTACTTTTAAACCCATTTACACTCCGTGCCTGACCAGTCTTGCATTGGTTTTGCAGGTAGGAGTTGGAGTTGTTGTGTCAGCCTGGAGCCCTCTAGTGGAGATTAATTTGTTCTTTAATTAAATGAATTTAAATTGATACTGCAGTAGTCCTCATGGAAAAGTAGCTGGTTGAAGTGAGAAGGTTGAAGTGAGAAGGTTGTGATGCTGGTAGGAAACGCAACAGCTCCATCACCATCAGATCCTGCTTTTCAGGTTGTAAATGGATGCTTGGTGTGTATCAGACCTCTGACACTGTCTTGTTCTCTTGTCTAGTGACAGAAACGTGCTGGAAGAAGAACTTCAGAAGCTGATTGAAGCTTTGATTGAGAACTTCCTTGAACCTGATAAGAATGGACTGATCTGGCGCTCGGCTTAGATCTGCTGGCCCTGGTGTTCAGAGCAGTGACCCTCTGCCCTGTGTCACAAAGGAACCAAGAACACAACTCAGTTTAATATATATGTGTGTGTGTATGTGTGTGTGTGATAAACAGCTATGGTTTTAGTCTGTAAAGGAGCATTCTTCTGTCAGGTTTTCCCCAAAAGAAAATTGGAAAAGCAAATTGGGATAAGGAAAAGGATGGAATTTCTTCCTACAGTTCTCTATCCTTTTGACCAAAAGACTTGGTTAACCTGCACCAATGCAAATGAACTGCCCTCGTAGGTTTAAGACAGATCTTAACCACTAGATTGTGTCTTCAACTCGTTTCAGGTACCAAGTAGCTTTTGTGTGAAAAGGCTTTCTAATCAGATAGTCACTTAAAGGAAGCAATTGCTCCAGCCTGACAAAGAAGCCTGTTTCTTCCTAGCTGTTGTGTGTGAGTGTAGGTATCATGACAGCTCTTCATTTCCCAACAAGTGGAGGTAGAGTCCAGTGCTTTGCATTCCTTGTTTAGGCAGGTTGTTCAATATGACCTTTTTCAGCTCCTGAAGTAACTTTATGGTGTTCAAGGTGCTCTTGGTGCACTGTAACTTTCCTGTGTGTATCTTACTTACTCAACGGTGTAACAATAGTGGCTCCACTTGCAGCCTGGGTTTGGATTACACAGTGCTTCCAGAGGGATAGAAACTTACTCATTCCCTGGTTAAATTGCCCATTAGAATGACTTTGCAACTGCTTTCTTTTAGCCCATGGCCTGAAGGGAGAAAGAGACCTTAAACCTTTTAGTAAAGGTGTCAGAAATCCAGTAACTTTGACTGAAAATTCCAGTTGGTGACTTTTGGGGGGGTTTATGGCTTGAATTCCTATTGTCTGTGTATTACAAAAGGAGCAGACATGGAGGTGAGACCCGGACACCATCATATTTTCTTTTCTAGTTACTAAGCCATTACTTTTTGTGATGTCTTGTAAGCTAATTTCTGTTACAGCATCAATTGCAAATACTCTTTTTTTCTCTTTTAAGGCATATTTCTAACAACTTCCCATCTGTTTCCTACATTTGCTTGAGTAAAATGGTACAGCTCATCCCTTTTTCCCCCCCAGGAAATAGGCCAGTACAGAAGTTCTCATGGGTATATCTAGGATTTCAGAAAGCAAAAGCCATGTTTTGGCATAGAAAAGCCATGAAAGATACTTTAACTGAAGCAGTGCTTGAAGGAAAACTGGGTATTGATTAACTGAGAGTAATACTTGTTAATGTGTCCTAAATGGCTATAGAAGGCTCCAGAATGAAGTCAGGATGTTCTGGATATCTCCCTGCTATCACTTCACAGTAAAAGGAATAGATAAACTCAACTCTTAAGGACTCTATTGAAGGTTATGTGAGAACCTTAATGTAAAGCTCTTGTCTTGCCACTATTGTTAAATCCCTGTTTGTCCTCCCTCTTATTATACCCTTACAGCTGGATGTCACAGGGTTGAGCAGTGGGTCTGTGTGTGTCACATTCCCACAGCTCCAAAGAGCACCAGAGGTTCATGTTGGGTATCTCATGCTGACAGCAGCTTTGCACTATAACCGTGGAGAAGTATTTTTGCTGTATATGAATGTACATGTGCTGCAGGAGGTCTGTGTTGCACAAAGTCTTGTTGGCCACTGATATTTATTTATTACTTTCGAAGGAAATGCTTCCAGATTGTTCTGCAATGGGGTGAAATGTATCTTAATGCCAAAAAACTTGGTTGGTTTTCCTTGACTGTATATTTGACTGATGGGGGGGGGAATGGGGTGAAAGCATTTACACTTAGGGTACCCTCATGTTGTTGTACAGTGCTTGGTAGGTGTCAGGAGGTGTGAAGGTACTTCTGACTGCTGCTTTGGCTTCGGCCTTCACAAAGAGGTGCAGATCTGGATCCCAGCTGCATGAAGTTGAAGGAGGACTCATCATTCCTTCAGTGGCAGCAGAGTAAAGCCTTGGGCGGATTGGATTCGTTCTTCAATAGCCTTTTTGTAATAGAGAACAAATGGCTTGGAACCTAAGTCTGAACAAAGGTAAACCCTTTACATAGCATAGTGTGTGTGGTAAGGCCAGCTCTGTGTGTATTGTAGCAGTTAGCAGTAGGATTTATGTCTTGAGTTAACGTTGATGCTCCTGCAAAGAGCAGGAACCTACATCTTCCCCCAGGGATCTGCTTTCTAGCAGTAGACAAGTGTTATAAATGCAGTATGGAAGCAAATTGTGCTTATGTTTTCCAATCAGCATGGTAACTGTTCATAGTTTAAATCTCTTTAATAATGAAGGCAAATACAGGGAGTTTAGAACCTGGAATTCTTCTCGTCCATAGATTTGAGCAGTGAGTTAGAGATGTAGTAGTGCTTCGGGAATGACAGCAACAGGCACAACGTGTTGAATGTATTTAAGGGTATAATAGCTACTGCTGTTGTTAAGCTGCTGCTACCATTGTTTTCCTACTGTATTTGAACTGTTGGATATATTTATACTGTTCCATTTGTGGAACTCCTCCTTTATCTCCTCCCTCTGATCTCGCTTCCCTTCTATTGTGTGAAGTTGTGTAGTTATCTTACTTCTTTGTTCCACATTGTGTTGGAGTTTGTTGGGCTTGTGCACAACCTTCTTGCAGTTGTCAGCTCTTCTTTACTGCTTTCCAGATGAGAACAAAGGCTTTCCTGACTTGAGTGGGAAGCAGATAACAGATCAAAGTACACCATGGATGATGCTTATTAGGAGCTTCCAGTTAAAATATGCCTCTTCAGAGGCTGGTCTGCAGCCAGTCATTGGCTTTAACTGTTCTTGTACAGCCATGACTTGGGTTTAGCATTTGTTGAAGTTAGGAGGGCTCAGGTTTGCCCTTTCCCTTCTTGATGTGACAGGTTTGATCCCTGTCTCACTCAGATACGTGATGAAGTCGGTTCCCTGGGTCTAGCATGGGACATCTGTAAGCACAGGGCTGCCAGGCAGGGTTGGACATCTATAACACAGAGCTTTTAGCTGAGTTGTGATACAGTGTCCAGTGTGTGGCTTAAATACCTTCAAGTCCTATTCAGGGGTCTCCTCCTGCACCTCTAGAGGATGCTTCCTGCCCCAGCATGAGTGAATCTCGACTCCTGCATGGAAGAGGAGGAGGAGGGAGTTTGTTTAACACAGGGTGAGTGACTGGAAGCTTCAAGCACAGCTTGAGCTGTAGCCCAAAGTCACATAGCCCCTGCTTTGTGTCCTGGTGCCCATCCAAATGGGGGGTCAGTCGTGCATCACTTGCCCTTCGCTTCCCTTGCCTCCAGCAGGATGCACCTCCAAGGAGCCAGGTTTGCCTTGGGCTGGGCTTTTGCCTGAGGAGGTCTCATTTCCTTAACAGCAAATACCCACCTCTTCCTTCTGAGGAGGGGAAATACTTGGGTTTGTCATCCACAAAGTAAATTGAGAGCTAGAATTCAGTGTGTTTCAGATGTTGAGGTGAGTTACAGCACCCAGTATCACTGCCTTGGGTGATGCTTGGTGGTCTTGAGCTGCTCCTGTATCTCATACCTGTGTGGTGAGATCCCTGGTGTTACCCATGGTGTAGCAGTACTTGGGAAGCACTTTGTGTCCCTGCTCTGTGTGGCTCCCAAAGCATTGGGGATTTCACCTCCTGCTTTATTGAAGGGGTGTATTGAGGGAGAAGTGGAATGATGGTTTCTATCATAGGGGCATGGTGGAGCGTGTGGTCTGCTTTGGATGTTCTCTTTAATCTGTAAACCAATATTGCCATCACTTCATTTTGTCCCCCCCTTTTTGCCCTCTCCCCAGGTAAGAGTTGGGGCTCTTTGCATGGTGATGCCTTGTTGGTTAAAAGACCCAGGACGTTCCCCATCCTCCCCTTTGCTCCTCAGTAGCTTTGTACAGAGGTGATAGGAGTTATCTCCAGTTGCATCGTTCTCCTTGTCTGAATGCTGGGCAGTTCTGGATCTGTGCTCTTGTTTACCCAGTGCCTGTTCTGTCAAACCAGGAATACCCCAGCTGCAGAGTGGGAATTTGCACTTTCCTGAACCGTTTCTGTGTTGCTCCATGGATTCAGCTCAATGAAGTGTTGTTAACAAGTAATAAACTCTTCTCTTCGTAGTAGCAATCCTGCATCTTTCTTCTGTCTTCTTCAGTCAGATGCTGGCAGCCCAAAAGCTGAGCTGGTGGGGAACTGGTCCTGCCTTGGGTTAGGAGGAGCACTGACAGTGATGCCCCAGGACCAGCAGTGTTCCCTGAAGGAGCTTCCCTGAAGTCCTCATGATGCTGGGTGAGATCTCTCCTCTCGCACCAGGATGCTGTCCCCAACAGCATCCAACCCAGAGGCAGTACCCACCCAAAGGAGAGGCTTCAGCTCCAGGGGGTTCCACCAGAGCAGTCCCAGCATCCTCTTGCTGGTCCCTCTGCCCTGGAAGATCTCCTTCTGCTGGAGCCTTCACGGCCTTCTCTCACTCAAAGGGAAACTGAGGCATGGAGCAAAGAACAGAAGC